GTAACATAGTCAAGTGGGACGTTAATCAGGTACAATGTGGGATGCTGTAGATTCCTTTATTGGTAAAATGCATTACTTTAGTTTTGTTGGATGAAAATTGGAGTCCGGTAGTCTTTGACCAGGTCTTTATGTTATTGAGTGCTTTTTGCAAGAGATTTTGAATAGATGTTGTGTTTTTCCCTTTTACATATATATCACTAAATCATCTGCGCATAGCCTTGCTCTCACTGGGGAGTGACATGTTCCACTTAAGTATGAGCCATCTGTTCGGACTTGGAAATATCTTTTTCTGAACAACTTTTTAACGAATTTCAAGATATTGCCATTGATGGACCATGTTTCTAACGTCTTCAATATGTCGTGATGCCACACTTTATCGAATGCCTTGTGTATGTCGAAGAAAACTGAGATGCATTCCTGTTTGCTTGCTAAGGATTCATGTATTTCGGATTAAAGACTCACAAGGTTGCCAAGGGTAGATTGATGTTGATGAAAACTGCTTTGTTCGGTTACTATCAAGTTTCGTTCATTTAGGAACCAACTTAGTCTTTTATTAACTATCTTCTCTAACAGTTTACACATACTGCATGTTAATGATATAGGTCTGTTAGCTTGTTCTGGGTGTTTTGGTTCACCGTCCTTGTATATTGGTATAATTATTGATGAATATCGATGTTATGGGAAAGCATAATTCATCCAGATGTGATTAAATATATTCAGGATAATTTGTTTGGCATTTTGAGGAAAATGTAAGGTATATTGTTGGGTCCAGGGCGTGTATTTTTAGTGCATTTGTGAATAGTAAGTAGTAGTAGTAGTAGTAGCAGTAGTAAGTTGAGTGGATAATTGTCGTTATTGTATTTGATATTTTCAGATTCTTCCAGTTTTTTATAATTCTGGAATTCCAGAGAGTATGTTGAATCATTGGATGATGTTTCGAAGTGGTTTGCTAGTACTATTGCTATCTCTTGGGGTCCAGGAATTGTTTTGTCCTTGTGGGACAGCTGTGGAATTTTTCTAGGAGTGTTATGTCCTGATATCCTTCTAATCATATTTCAGATGTTGGATATTGGTGTAGAACTATTTATCTGTGAGATGTAATTTTTCCCCGATTCTTGTCTGCTTTTTTTGAACAGATATTGAGTATAAACACGGTGTCAGGTGTTATCGGTATAGTTTAATGCAACGCTTAAGGGATCAGACGATCCGTAGACATTTTCGAAAAAATCTGATATTTCTTGGTTCGATTAATTGGTATAGGAGTTAAAAAAGGGTTTTAGTCTGTGTTAAGCGGTGTCGGTGAGATAATTTCAGAAGCATTTCTTTTTCCTGATTGCTTATTGGTTTCATGGGCAGGATCATTTGATGATGACTCTTGATTCGTTTCTGTTGTTGATGGATAAGTTTGGTAGCTTGTGGACGAGGGGTCGGAATTATCGTTCATATGATGCTGAGAAAATTGAGTATTTGGTTGGTTGGTTGTATTTGTTTCATTGGTTTGGGTGGGAGTGTGAACGTTGTTGGGGCATTTAGATGCAGTGTGACCGTTCAGTTTACATTTGAAGCAAATGTGGTCATCAAAAGCTAAAAATATACGATATGTTGTTTTTTTGAACGTAATGAGAACTGATTCTGAAATTCTGATATTCGGTTGAGGGGTGATATATATTTGTAGGCGGAAACTCAATACATGTTGATAATCTGGGTGGGATGTGCCGATTCTCAGAAAACTCATGGGTGTCATCAGTGTTACGTTCAGTTTTTTCAATTCTTTTTCTAGTACGGAGTGGGGGATGATCGGTCATACATTGGAAATGATGGATTTTTCATTTGGTGAGACTAATTTTCGAGCTTGAAGTGGTATGTTATCAATGGTTATTGATCCTTTGCGATTATACATGAAGTTGTTGACAGAGTCTTCGCTTGATAAGTAAATGCATATCCGGTTGTTAGATATTCTTGAAGAAAAGAAAATATTTTTTGGCTGTATGATCGTTCCAAGGGCGATTAAATACTTTTTAAGTTTAGTATTCTCGATAGCATTGAAGACGATGGCTTGTTTTTTATTTGGAAATATGGTTAATGATATAACTGAAGAGTACGATTTAGTCAGTTGGTTGGTGTTGTTCTGAGAACTCCTGTAGTCAGAAGTCTGGTGCTCGTTCTTTGAGATTTACACTATTCAGCGCATTTGTATTGGCTGAATACGGTCCTGGCAGCTTACGGTATGTCACTTGATAAGCCTCAGGCTGTTTCGGTGTTGCTGTTGATAGTATTTTATTTAGGTAATGGAAGATGAAAATAATATCAAGAATGCTTACAGATTACTGCTTACTTCGTATTACACAATTTAGCTCTTGACAAATATATTGTAGTTGTGAATTGTTTAACAAATTGAAAGTTATCTTAAATATACAATTTTCGGTACTGAATATGAGCACAACTTTCTGTGATCGTGACAGGATGATACTATTATCATTGTCTTGTTACTTAGTGTCAATATTCGAAACATGGGTGAAGAGATGGAAGCAAATCATTTGTTAGTTGAGGTGATGACTTATGAGGTCAGGATTAGGGGAATAGTTTCTACTCGAGCCATTGCAGAAAAAAGAAACATTCAAGGTCGCGCACTCGCCAAAGAAAAAGGTTGGATATCGAAATAGATGATCCGGATTGCGATTATAATAAAGAAGTTAGGGCAATCACTGAAACTCTTGACAATATTAGAACTCTTTTTGACGATTTCGAAGAATCGGCTATAGGTAGGTATTACCAAGTAGGTATTACCAAGTGTGTCAAAAGATTGAAGTTGAGAAATTACCCGTTACGTGAACAGATTACTTAAAAAATTGAAACCTATGCATACGTGTTCAAGATGGGAAACCAATCTTCATGAAAAAGTTACTACCTCGATATATCATACAAACGCCTCTGNGACACTTGTATTTCTTCACCTCGAAGTTTTAGAGGTCCGAGACCCTCCGTTTTAGTCCTTCTTCTTCGGTCCATCTTGTTATAATATTCAGGGCCTGCTGCATGCATCCCTTCACTACATTATTGTATTTACCCTGGACTAAGATGACTAAGTCGTCTGTCCCAGTGCTTTGTACCCATTGTGATCCAGGAGACATAATAGCTCGTCCATTACAAAGTTCCACAACAGAGTGGATAAAACCCCCCCTGAGGACAGCCCCTTGCTACCCATGCCACGACTGTTTCCCCCATGATGGTTGTATATACCAATCTTACCCTAAGAATGCAGTCTATCCACCTACAGCTTGTCTTTTCGATCCCTCTTCTCCTCGACGCCTGAATGATTGATTCCAACGACGTATTGTCAAACGCGCCCTCACTGTCCAAGAAAGCAGCTAAAAGTACTTCTTGTTTTTGTAAGTATGTTCTACATTTTCTGTTACCTGACATAGAGCCGTTTCTGTTGACATATCTGACCTGTATACATATTGCTCTTGATGGTGTGTTACTTTTAATGGGGTTTCGGAAAATTGCGGGGGTGAATCATTCATCGAGAGAGTGGAGGAATTAGCAGAAGCGCGCAGAGTCACTAAAGTCGAATTGTTCGCCTCAACGGTAGATCTTTTTTCTGGCAGATGTTTGGATTGATGGCGTTATGCTGAACTATTGGTATTCAACTGAAATGCCTCAGTGCAAAAGTTGAAAATCTATTTTTTATCTTCAGATAATGATACTTGTGATGCACTGTTTGGAACCTTTGATGTAGTAATGAATATTACTTTCTCTTGAAGATGATCACTTGATGATCAAAACACGTGTCGAGGTGTTGAAAATAGCGATTTGGTGTTGAAAAAGAAAAAGAAACACCAGTAATATGGAGATAATGATGATAATTCATGGAAAACCATTGAAAATTCTAAGCCACGTAATAATGAATCAGTTACAGTTTTTATTGCCGAATTGGATAGTAATTTTCTTCGATTACAAAAATAAATAAAATCAGAAAGGTATGTCAGAGGTGGAAAGAGGTATTTGCAGCCTCATTAAAATAGCAACAAATATTCTTACAACCAGCCACTGATAGACATAACAAAATGGTGTGGTAATGCCTGAATAATTGAAGAAATTGACCTACCGGAATATATACTGGGAGTCTGGTTATTCAAGAATAATATACAGAATATTTACAGGACTACTCACCAAAGGCACTCTTTTCAGAGGTCACCCCAACAAAAAACGGTTGTCAAACGGAAATATGAACTGCAAACAATGCAAAAAATGACTGAGAAAGCTCGTATGTTTTTAGCGAATGTGAGGCTCTGGATGCCAGAAGGTAACTAAAATAGATGAAAACGTAATGAGCCCCGGATACTTGGAAAAAATGGACAAGTTAAACGATTTCCAAGAAGCAAAGCAAATAATCATAATGATGCGAACTATCTTTGTCAAGAAGACGTTGTAAATCACTCGAATAAAACACCAAGAGGTAGCAATGAAACAAAACTTATTTTTCGTGGAAATGTATCTATCAGGAAAATAAGTATAAGATTGTAATAACTAATGACAAATACATTTTTCTGTTATAGTGCAGAAGGAATGGATAAATCCATTGGTATGTACATCTTATCATTTACGGCCTAGACCAGGATAATCAGATCAGAATGATGTTATTTCAAAGACACCCAATGAAAAAATGTTCATTCAAATTAACAACTTACATTCTGAAATAATATATCGAAAAATACATATTATAGACCATATTATTTCATTTGTTCTAAACAATCGGTTGGAATCTCGCACAGTCTACGACTCACCATTCCGCAGACATGATAGAACATCTGTCAAAAAATGTATCTGTTTCCATCTGGAGAGCATTTTACAAGTGAATTTTATGGGTTTTCATAAGGTTATACTTTCTGAAAAGTTATCCGTTTTGAAAAAGATACGTATTGACATTTCTTTTTTTCCATTATTTATTTTCATTTGTAGGCAGGATTTGTGAATATGACAAGTTACTGACTAATTGGAATCTTTAGTGGTTTATATTACGTAGTAACTATACAGTAATAATTATACATAAATGAATCAGTCTTTTTTATTTTTGTAGTGTTACAATTATAGCTAGTAATAAATAATGACCAAAATAATATGACTGTCTGGTAGACGAATTACAAAAGTCTTCTTTACATAAAATACATTCTTTCAGTATCATGCTTTGTTGACCAGATTGGGATCGTGGGTCACAAATAATATTCTCTTCTTTCAGGGCACATCTTCTTGTATATAAAGTGTTAGATGAATTTTCTGGAAAAAAAAATGTGTTCAGTATTTGATGTAAACTGTAAAAATGTTACATACGATTAGATTTTTCCTTGAGTTCATATATTTTCTATTATTACTTCGATCAGTAGTGTAAAAATAGTCAAAAGAACTCAAAAACCACCCGAGAAGACAATTGCTATTTATTTCTCTCCAGATTCTTAAGAGATAATTAATCCCAAACATAGCTCAGAAGCCTTGCAACGCAGTCTTGCAAGGCTGTCTTGAAAGGCTGTACCCGACAGAGCCAAAAGTGCAGCATTTGAACCAATATTGTGAACCCTTGTTCATCTCTGACGAACGAGCTTTGAATTTTAATCCAAAACCATGGCGTCTTCGCAGGGAAGTCGACATATTCATCTCTTCTTCAGGATTGTTTTTATTAAAGTTCTGCCGTAGATTTTTGTTGAGCTTCCCCAATCTGCATAAACACCCCAGCTAATCCAAAATAAAGAGACGTACTGTAGATCTAGATTTCTGCCTACCTTAGTCTGAATGAACCTGTAAATCCTCAAAGACCAGAGTAATTGTCCTGAATATGACGTCAAACAAGATGAGAGATTTTTCCTTCTTTTCATTCAAAACTTATATCTGCTTGCTATACCTACTGGCTTTACGCATTCATTTCATTTGTGGAATCATAACGTTGCTACCTGATTTCATGTAATGTATCAAGAATAAATGAATCCAGAAAGCTAGTATAGCAAGCAGATATAAGCGCCAAACAGAAACAAGGAAAGATCTTATTTATCTTCATTGGTATCACATCCAGAGCAATTCCTCTGACCTTTGGCGATGGATAGATTCATGCAAACTACGGAAAGCAGAAATCTAGATCTGAAGCTACGTTACGTACTTCTCTATTTCAGGTTAGCTGGGGTGTTCTTGTAGATTGGAAAAGCTCAACGAGAATCTACGGTGTATTACTGAGCAGGCAAATGTACTAGGTAGTTGAGCTTGCCTTTGTACGGAAGTTCTCGCCTAAAAAGAATAACATTTGAAGTATGACCTGTATCTTCATGCGTTGGAAATCTTAGGGTCAATGCTACTATCTTCAGTGAACATTAATCCCAGTTAGTGTCGTTGTTAAACACATACGTAAAAATCGTGGTTTTTCACGACCTGATGGACTTGTGTAACTGGGTTGGAGTGAGGGTGATAATTCGCAATAAATGTCATTTCGATTCCATATTCAGTGGCTTTATTCTGAAATAAGTTCGCTCTGAATTGTTTTTATTGTCCGCAATGATTTTTTTCTGGAGCACCGTAGACGTGTCTTACTTGTTCTTCAAGTGACACTTGATGCTGTTATTGTTCCAAGAGAAAAGAGCAAGTAAACTTGCTGAGGCAGTCACAGATGGAACATCTTCAGATACCAAGGGTCCCGAATTATAACTTTGACAATATAATCTTAAATAGCATCTACAGCAGGGACGGCCCGCGATGAGGTATCAGGTACAATATGGTCCTCATCTTTGTGGTAAACACTATCAAAGTCATACTACTGAAGTCTAAGGGCCCGTCGAGCGATCCTGCTGACATGGACCTTCATATAAAACATCAATTTCAAACTGAAATAGTCTGTCACCACCGTAAAAAGACTACCTAGCACATAGGATCTCAGCTTTTTCACCGCACATCAAGACATTATTTCTCGGTAAGAATATATTTTCTCTCATTCTCGACGAAAAATTGTCTCGAATAGCGAATAACTTTCTCACGCCACTCTCATGGATTTGTGTGACAACCGCGCCCAAGCTAAAGTGACTCGCGTCTGTTTATATGTTGGAGGGTTGTTTGAAATCTGGACAACACAAAATTGAAACGGAAATCAAATGGTTTTTCACTATCTGCAATGCTTCTTCGAACATAATTGTTAACTGGAAATGTTGGCATTCCCTTAACGACGCAATTAAAGAAGAAACCGAGGTTGAAAAGCTAGGTACGAACCTGAGCCAGAACCAGTTTTCGTCGTACATATTCTTTGGGCTTGGAATCTGAATAATCGCATTCACTATATCCAGATGCGTTAATGAAATAATTAAGCCTTGCTAACGCAAATACTTTAGCTCGGGTTTGCAAAAGGTCATTTGTTTTTTTAAAGGTGAGACAAGCTCTAATAATTCGAAAAAAAACTTTTCTCATAATCCTAAATGTTGAGAGGAAGCAGGGGTGCAGCATATTACATCATCCAAATACACAAATATGAACTTCTGTCAAATCCAATGACGCGATCTATGAGTCGTTGTCACGTAACCGGTGCATTGTGGAGACCTAACGGCATCCTTCTGGATTGAAAGAGCCTTCTGGCGGGTTTCAGTTACACTGGGAGGAAAACATTTCCTGTAACTTCACAGATATCTCCATTAGTAACGGTACAATTCTTAGTAGTGAAAAAATTAGGTTCGAGTCGCGTCCATAAATTTGCACTTTGAAGTACCTAATGTCTTTCGTTGTTTTCTGCATGAGCCAAAACACAGTTCGATACTGCTATAGTGTTATGTTGTTCGATCGGATTCGAAAAAGATGAGGCTTCAGCCGGTCTACTGACGACTTCCTTCACATTCCACGATAAACAGCTTGTTGGAACAATAAATAATATATTTAGTAAACAGCTCTGCAGCAGTTCGAAACCGGTCGGTTTGGCAGGTATGAGCTACAGTTTACCGATATTACAGCAGTCTCATCTCCAAGCGATGAGACTTGTGTCACATTCGATTCAGTTGTTAGTTATATCTAGAATGTTTTACTTCTGGAATCGGAGACTTCGAATTGTCCAATAAGCTTCCCTAGATCATAAATTTCGCATTCAGTATTCCTGTATTGTTGAAGCTGGCATCTGTCTGTTTTAGTTTATCATTCTTTCATTCAATTTCATCAACGAGTTACATACAACTGATTAGTAGTTGTCTCTTAGCTTATTCTCGTTCAGTTCCCTGGGAAATTCTCCGTAATTTCAACTCCGTTATGCATCAGTTTCGAAGAAATTCTTCTGAACTCAATAAGGCAGTTTGTGCCATTGAAATATTGTCTTTACTCAGATCGACCAGTTTTGTTTTGCCAATATCGGCCTCTACCAAGGAGCTCAATGCACACAATAGCGAAGAAACGCCTTTCTGCTTACATCAAAGCTCACCGCTCAATAGTTAGTTTTTTGCTATTGTTCGATTTACAGGTAGGCTTCTGGTGAACAAATAATAAACACTTTCGTATCCTAGAAGACTATTGTTTAGATGTAAGCACTCGCGTGGTATATCAGAAATTGAACGCAGCACACAACCTCTTCTTTTTCAAAAAGACAAAAAAACAGTACGGAGCGGTTCGGAATAGACGAAGCCTTTGAAAACTTCCATATGCCAAAATATGTTCAACTGAAAACTCTATACCGAATCACCTCCGTATCTGAAAATATTTTCAGTGAAAAATTTATACGAATTACTCTGTATACGCAATATAAATTTATTGGTTTGAAAAATTTAATAGTGAAGCACCCTTTATATGGAAATGTAATCAACTAGAACTAGTTACCTGTGTACCTGAATTTAATGCAATATGAAATGATTATGTGTAGGTTGAAAAAACAGACAATGGAAAAAAATATTATTTTTCCGTAGACTCCTACAAGAAGAATAAAACAGACGATAATCGACACCAACATTTTGTTTCAAAACGAAAAAATATTCTATCATAAAAATAAATTTTTCATAATTGGTGACTTCAATATCTCTTGAAATCAATGGAACATTCTTGAGAAAGAGTTACTTAATGCCAAAATTATTCATGACATAATCTGCCGGTATGACTTAACTCTATGAACGCTATTCTAAACCATTTGAATCATACACATACATACAAACAAATGTGTGGATTAGTTTAATAATTTCATTTATTTATTCAATTCCAGACCAGTGTTCCATAATAGTAACACAACAATAGTTACATGTAATAATAGTTACATAAACAATACATATTCAGTTTGCCTATATAGAGTGAGAAGAAAAGAAGAAAAGAAGTCGAAGTAGCATAAAGAAAAAGGGTCGTTCTAACTATCTAGTTAGTAACAACATATTTGCTAGTTTTGAAAATGATATTACTGTCAATCCCAAACAGTTGTGGAACTACATTGAACATAGAAGGAGCAATTCGGACATATTCTACTTATTCTTTTATGAAAATCAGCATTTTGAAAAAGGTGATATTGCAAACTACTCGGCTGAATATTTTCAATATGCCTATACACAGATAATACCTACTTCTCCATCAACTTTGTTCATATCATAAGCACTATGACTTGGACTGTTCAACATCCTCTTTGAGTTTTTTCACCTTCTACAATCTTAACATTTCGGAGGCTGAAATCTGCCTCCATTTCCAGAATTAGAAAAAGTGTAACGTATCTTGCAACTTTTTTCTCTGATAGGGATGGCAAAGAAGTTTCATTCAATTTGAAATATTCCCGACATCTATCGAGTACGTTTTGGAAATGAAAAGAAACAAAGAAAAATTGCAAGATTTATTAGTTCTTTTCGATTTTTTAACACGAAGGGAGAAAATAAAAAGGATTATAAAACCCCTATTTCGATATATTGTTGGTACTTCCCCCTACTTTTTCAAAGCATATGGAGATATTCATTTAGCTCTATCACAAAGTATATTCAATATATCCTTAGGAATAACATGTTTACCAAAAGATTTAAAATCTGACGAATAACATCAATACAAAAGTCAAGTGATACTAGCCCAATTGGAAACTACAGACCTATTACAATGCTCCTAGCTGCTTCAAATTTTTTTGACAAAGTATCATTGCTTCAGTACTCATTAATAAACGATACGGTTTAATCAATAGAGACCCACTGTAACCAATCTTTATATATATACTATATATATATATATATATATAGTGAATCAAATACTTTCATACCAACTCCAAGAGTTCTGCAGGGCTCAATTTCCAGACCTCTTCTTTTTGTCATATTTCTTAACGATATATCTGACGATATAAAACATTCAAAATTCGTTTTACACGCGGGCAACTTGAAAATATTTCTCTGAGAACTCACAAGGATGCTATGCTATTAATATCTTTAGATGTAAGTAATGATTTTATTTGGAAAAAAATATATCCTAATCAGAACATATTCTATTTCCGATGTAATAAATCAATGGAATTACTGACTAAGGGGTCATTTTTATTTAAAATTCAACTCCCACTTAGAAAAATTACCGAAAATGCTATAGAATGCTCATTCATTATTAGAGCTTGTCATGAACCTACAATACATGCAAGGAGCTATCCAACTCACATCTATTGAACATATTGAATACTCGTGGGTTATGCGGCTCCCTCAAGGGCTGTCTCACGTTAACATGCTATCCTACCAAACAATATTCTTCTTCCTGAAATTTTGCCCTCGTTGCTCTCAATTCAATGTTTCATAATTCTAATTCAAACTCTCCAATCAACCACTGCCTCAAAAACAATAACATCACCATTTTCCAACATTATCAGAACTTCACATGCATCTCTATTACAGTTATTAAGTATTTTATGGTTAATACTATTATTTCATTTACTGTGTTTCGAAAAAATGTTTTTTAGAAAGATGGAGAAGAAAGAAGCCAAAAAGCTTGCTTCCCAAAAATCTCACCGTAATTATTATGACATAACAATGCAATATATCCGATACGTATATAATACTAATACTCACTTTCAATAGTTGTGAGGCAGCGATATATATCTTCATTTGCATGCCTCATTGTTTTTCCGCTGATAGTGAACACCGAATTTTGGCAGTCTATTGCTTTGATTTGTTGGCTTCGAATAGGATCCCCACATCCTGCATCTGACAATGTACATTCGAAACATTTCAGCGCATCCACTGTGAAAAAATTATTAAAAAATTGTTAAACAAGTAATCTGATGAGAATGTTAACTGTTGTGTTGTTTCGTTCGGGATCAATAAAATTTCACCGAATAATAGTGCTTTCAGTTTTTAACCTTAAAATTTTTCAAAACAATCATTGCTTTCCAATGTTCAACTAAACTGTCAAGCTGAGAAATTATTTCTAAGTTAATTCATTCCTTTTCAAGAATTCTGCAAATAATTCCTCAACTATTGACTCTATGATAAATTTCATAAATAGTTTTTATAGTATTTTTTGAGATCTAAAATACTATTTCGATGATAATTGTGGGTTCGGATTATTCTTTAAACAACATTTTTTTGTGAAGGGCTCATTGTTTTATACTGTTTTTTGGGTTTATAACCTTCCACAATCTGAAAAAATTAAAGCTCAAACAATAGAGAATTTTCTGAAGTGTAGTAAAGGGCAAACTGAAAAGTTCACCCCGAAAAACTACTTCGTAATATAAACTACTGGAAAGTCCAATTAGTCAGTAACTTGTCGTATTGAAAAATTATGCCTACAAATTGAAAAATAAAAATCAATTGGAAAAATTAAATATTGATACTTAGCTTTCTTAAGTGGTTAACGTTTCACAATTCTTTTCCGTTTTCATAACCTGTATTCGAAACCTGTTAATACAGGTTATGGAAACGGAAAAGGATTGATTTCCAAAACGTTAACCATTCAAGAAAGCTAAGTTTCAATATTAAATTTTTTGAGCTGATTGTTTTTCAATCTGTAGGCATAATTTTTGAATACAAGTTACTTGTCACTTGGTATGATCACTTGGTAATTGAAACAAGTATTGAAAATGACGGTTTGGTTTTGAGATAGGACTACACTTATATTCACAATCAATTGGACTTTCCAATAGTTTATATTACGCGGTATTTGTTCGGGGTGAACTTTTCAGTTTTCCCTTTACTACACTCCAGCAGATTCTCTATTGATATAACTTTTATTTTTTCAGATTGTGGAAAGTTATAAACCTAAAAAACTGTAAATCAATGGATGTAGCCGTTACTACGTGGTAGTAGATCACAATGGAGAAAAGAGAATTGAAACTTTCTATCTGTTTTACCACTTTTATTTGTAACTTACGTTACAGCAGTTTCGTCCTATAAGGACATTTTCAAACTTATACATTAAACTAACAATGGTTCATTACATTAGCCCTTATATAGCACCCTTTGGGTAATAATAGAAGTACTTGCTTTGATTGAGTACGTGAGTTTTGTTTACTAGTTACAATGCGGATATGCTTTTTTGAAAATCGGTGAGTAAACTAAATCGATTTGATAATTTAACAGGTTGCACCTGCAATGTTTATGCTTGTGAATTTCCAAGGATTCTAAATAATTGAGTTTGCAACCCTTCCTTGCATAGTGCAAAATTTCCTTATCGTTTAGAATCGGGATTTTGTGGTTGCATGCCAAGGAATGGTTTTAAAACGTCGAATCATTTTTTCTCAGTCTGAAGGACCTTTCATGTTCAGCATACCGTTTTTATAAATTTCGACTACATTGTCCCACATAAACACTATTACACTCCGGACACTTAAGCTTATAAACCCATATTTCTCCAACTTGTCCACCTTATCTTTGGCATTGAAATGGAAATGAGATAACCTGGCATATGGTCTGAATGCCAGTTCCACATTGTTTTTTCTGAAGAAACCCGCAATTATCTCCGTTCTTTTTCCAAAATATGTTAGTTACCCATTTCCTGATTTCTGGTTGTCTGACCTGAGGGTATAATAATCTATAAATGAATTTACGGCTTCGTTTTCTGACTAACTTCAGGATAGTATCTGCGTTGAAACCATTATTATGTCCTATCTGTGTAATTATATCAATTTCCCTAGTTAGATTGTTAGCAGACAAATGCAGTGAGAATGATCTGTGCAACATTGACTTGTAGGCTGCTAATTCATGACTGTCTGGATGGAAAGAATCGCTTCGGATGGTAATATCTGTATAGCTAGGTTTTCTAAAAACATTGAACTCAAATTTATTCTGATTGTGTGTAATGGTCAGGTCTAAGAAATGTATTTGTTTCTCTATCTGTGTTTTGAGTGGGAACTGAATGTTGCTATTGAGATTATTCATGAATGTCATAAATTGGTGCAGCTGTCGTGTAGTACCTCTGAAACAAGCTAGAATATCGTCTACATATCTGTACCAAAAATGAATATGTTTTTACCCAGGTCGGAATTTACTATAGTGGTCTCTAATCTGTTCATAAATATGTCTGCTAAAAGTAGACTAAGAGGTTAGCCCATTAGTAAAGCTGAATCCTGTTTATAAAATTTGTTGTTGAACTGTAGCTAGCTCTGATTTAGGCACACATCGAAATCTGTTGAAACTTCAAAAGAAGTGATATGGCATTAGTTTGATCTAATATATCTTGAATGAGGGGTTTACACACTTGTTGTATGGTATGTTGGAGAACATACTCTTTACATCGAATGAAAATTAATTATGTGGTGTGGTTTGGTTCCGTATGTTTTCTACTAAAGTCAGTGAATTACTGTCATCAAGAAAGACCTAATGAAAAATAGTCAAAATAAACTGAAAAATTCCCTCTCAGATACAAAAATCATTATCACGGAATCAGAGAAACGGAAAATCACCAATATGGACCCCTCTTGCCTTAAACTATATGGCCTGATAAAAACACATAAAGAGGATAACACCATAAGATCCGTAGTTCCGTATATAATTAGTCCGGTAAGAGAACTAGGAATACGTCTTAACAAGTTGTTCTAAAATATTACCAATTTTGACACACCTCACAGCATTCAAAATTAAGTAACTTTAGTAAAAAACATACGGAACCAAACCACGCCGCATAATTCAAATTTAGTTTCACTCGATGTAAAGAGTATGTTCTTCAACATACCGTATGAGTGTAAGCCCCTCATTTTTGATATATTATATCAACCCAAAGTATACTATATCACTTCCTTTCGAATTTCAACAGCTTTCGATGTGTGCCTAAATCAGAGCTACCTACAGTTCAACAACAAATTTCATAAACAGGATTCAACTTAACCAATGGGCTCACCCTTTAGTCCACATATTTATGAACAGCTTGGAGACCACTATAGTAAATTCCGACCTGAGTAAAAAACATTTTAATTTTTTGTAAAGACGATATTCTCGACCGTTTCAGAGGTACTACACGACAGCTGAACCAATTTATGACATTCATGAATAATCTCAATAGTAATATTCAGTTCACAGTTTGCAACCACAAGTTCCCGAATCTAAACGATACGGAAATATTGCACTATGCAAGGAAAGGTTGCCAACTCAATTATTTAGTATCCTTGGAAATTCAAAAGCATAATCATTGCGGGTGCAACCTGTTAAATGATCAAATCGATTAAGTTTACTCGCCGGTTTTCAAATTAGCATATACGCATTGTAACTAGTTAACAAAATTCAAGTACTCAATCAAGCCAAGTACCTCAATTACTAACTACAGGGGTACTTTATAAGGGCTAATGTAACCAACCATTATTAGTTTAATGTATACGTTTGAAAATATCCTTATAGGACGAAACTGCAATAAGGTTAGTTACAAGTAAAAGTGGATTATTGTAACTTTTCTGAGAGAAACTATTATTTTTACAAGTTCAAACCATTTCCTGAACTACACCAATGCTTCGTTCCTCAGGAATATAAAATGCTCTACGTGTTTTTTTATTTTCAGCTTTCAGTTAAAATTTGCCACACAGATACGGTGACGAATAATAATTTTGAGAATTATTTTCTAAACTATTCTATTGGTAGGTCGGTAGCCGGTCGGTTCGATGTGGGTGCTTTGTTCATTCACTCGAATTGACTACCGTGTTGGATGGTGGTTCAAGCCCCAGGCTGAACGATCGATTGTCGTTGTCGTTCGTAGGGGTGCGATAGCTGGTTAACGAAAAAACATATTTTAAACAGATTTGAAAAGTTCATTATTTTTTATGGTATTTCAAATGAAAATTTTAGATATCTCCAACCTTTCAAAGTGAAGGATTTTTTCGATTGATAACAACATTTCCTCAAATGGAGCTGATACGGTGAAACCATAATAAAGTGCGTTTTCATCAACTACCCCTTATGATCTAATATTCACAAACTTTATTTGAAAAATATCACGTTTCGCTATCACAGTAGTAGTCTAGTTCACATGTACTTTTTTTTGTAACATTTTTCAGCCCTGTCCATAAATTACGACCATTGTGTCGATCGATTCGTATTTTTGCCTAGAAAGTTTAAGGCAACGGTAATCTATTTTTTTTTTGCCTATTAAGGATAACTTCACCAAAGGAAAAAAATGCCAGGGTTTTAGTTTAATTTCAATTCAATTCAATTCAGAAAAAGTTANCGAATCGAATGACACCTTTGCCGTAATTTTTAAACAGGGCTGAAAAATGTCAGCAAAAAGAGCTAAATCGAGTACATGTGAACCAGAGTATAGGTTTTTCACAGTGAATGACAATACTACAAGTTAATTTCATTATATACTCTGATTTTTATATCCTCCACGTAAATATAAGTTAGAGATACCCATGTATGTAGTTCTTCGATTATAATCACCTAAAGCATCTAAATCAATAATTCAATTTCGGTTTCTGAGAAAACAAGTTGAGTGATGGTAATCTATTCAAATCCACTTGGTTATCCAGTAAAATATATTGCAATAATGTAATAATGTTAAGATGTTGTTCATAGAATTTTTAAAAGTAAAAAATTGGATCTGTCAAAAACGTATGCAGTTATTTGGGAGCTACACAAGAAATTATACTTTTTCTATAAATATCGATATTTTCTGTATTTCTGTCTTGCACACTTCTATGAGAGAAAGAAGAAAGATGTATAATTTTGTCACCCGAAGTTCAAGAAGAAAATAGAAACATTGCTAGAAAAGCAGCTTTCTCATTTCCCGATTTATTTAAAAAGCTATTTTCAATAGACCGACTGACTGACACTGAAACATAGATCGACTGACTGATGATGGAACAGACAAAGACGACAGAATTTTTCGAGAATTTTATTTTTCCGATAGACCCCTGAGCAATCTGTGGTCCATCTCTTTTCTCAGTATAGGAGTAGTATACAAATGTATCAGATCCATCTTCAAGACTCTAAATGTGAAGTAGAAGACTTAATCTTTGAACCCTGCCGATGAACGTGATAGAGCGGTGAATAGCTGAATTGATTTTTTATGATTTTATTGATTCTTATAGGAACCAACACTACTTTTGGTTATTAGAATTAATTTCCAGTTCATGAGATCATTCTTTAGTAATTATTAAAATATAAGTTCCTGTTGATATAATGTCCATTTATCTGGCATCCTGTTGTACTGTTTCAACGTTCTAAAAATAGCACCACTGATCGGTTGAACGGAAATTGAAAGTATCGATGATAACATGAACACCATATGGAAGCGGGTTTTTCAGATAATATAATTCCATCGATTTGCAATTCGGAACTTATTTCAATAGAAACATTATACAATTCACAATAGACATAATTAGTGATGATAAAATTCAATTCTTTCTGAAAACTACTTATTCTCAAAAAATAAAAGAACACAGGAGTAGTTTCTTGAATGTGAAGACCAATTCAACATTTGCAAACTATCTTTCGATAGAGGGGCATGAGTTCACCCAACCAAAAGAAAGCTTTGAAACTCATTTTTTTGCAATACTTGGAAATTATTAGATTCGAAAAATCTGTAAATTTACTGAATCACCAAATAGAACTGAATTCTTTCCCTCCTCTGAACGTGGAAATTGGTCGAGAAATTGTTAATCAGTTCATTACATGACCATTCGAAAAGTTGGTGAAAAATATTCTTTTGTGATATTCAAATTTCTGTGGTCGCTCCGGATGGATAGTCTGCTTGATGCCCTCGTTAAAAGTGGAGTAGATCTGCAAGCTTATGCATATGACGTTGTCATTTTGACAAAGTATTCATCAGGAAGGGAAGCGTGTAATATCCTCCAAAGTACGATGGACGTGGGTCATAGTTGGTGCCAGAGGGAGCAGATGTCTGTCAACCCCAGCAAAACTGTGATAATCCCCTTCACCAGGAGGAGCGAATTGGACGATTCAATGCCACTTTCCCTCAATGGTGAGATGGAACGGAGGTAAAATATCTTGGCATTCTCCCTGATGAAAAATTCACCTGAACGCTCATTCGGAAAAAGTTTTACACAAGTCCAGACTGTTCCTATGGATATGTCGAAGAAGGATTTGTGGTAAAATTTAGGGTTTAGGGCCCAAACAAATCCATTGGATATATGTGATGATTGTCAGACCAATGATCACTTATGGATCAATTGCCTGATGGCCGAAGGCTTTACAGAAAACGGCTCATGCGGAGCTCTCTGGCTTACAGAGACAAACTTGTCTGGCTACCTGTAGTGTCATCAATACCACACCGTCAGCAACCATGGAGATCTTTCTAGAACTACCTCCTCTCCTCCTCTCCACATATTTCTGGAGAGAGGCTAGATGGACTGCATATAGATTTGTGCGCATCGCCAAGCGCACAAAACAATTTAATGCAAAGTACATTAGACTACTGGCTAACACTGGAAGTCACATCATTGTGGAAATGACTTCTAACATTGTGCCTTCAACTATTAACTACAAACTGCCTCATACAGTACTTTTCACGAGTAGAGAGGATTGGATCTCCCGGGAGAAGGAAATATTAATATAATATAATATAATGGAAATATAATGTTGGTTCACAGATGGATCAAAAACACCTTCAGGGTCTGGTGCAGGTGTTTTCAGTTGCAAACCCAGGACAGAGATATTATTCTTCCTAGAGACCTATGTGTCTTTATTTCTTACGGTTATCTTCTGAATTGTGTGCAGAGAGATTGATTGAATCCAACTTCACACACAAGTCAATAAAATTTTCTCAAACAGTCAAGTGGCGTTGGAAACTCTTGGCTCCTACCGAGCAACGTCTAGGTTAGTAGCGAATGGTAGCGAATTGCCAAAAACGAATCTCCTCAATGAGAGAACTTGACAAATTGTTTGACAAATTGTCTCTGGTCTGGATTCCTCGCCACACAGTCCTAAAAAGCAATGAAGCTGCTAACTCCCTCGCAAAGAAGGGTCCTGCAAGTAGTTTCATCGGACCAGAACCTGTCATTGACCTTGCTTTAGGTTTTGCCATTGAACACCTGGGTGGCAAGACTTCTGGCAAAATCTTTCACCCTTCGAAGCTTGAAAGCAAACAGTTGTTGGGCTACAGTAGAGATGAACAACGATGTCTAACAGGTCTCCTTTCAGGTCACTGCCGTCTGAATCATCATATGCAGAGACTCGGACTATCGCCTCTNGTAAAATCTCTTTACTACAAAAATTAGCCATGAATCTCAGAGCATAGCAGTTTTTTCTCAATTTAATACAGAGGGTCTCAATATGAGGAGTCCATGTGAGTTTGTAGTCCAAGATGACGCCTAACATTTTTGTAGTACAAGATTCAAGTACAAGATTCAAGTACAAGATTCAATTGGCAGATCTCCATTTTCATGGATAACAAAATGTTCGGGCCACTTACTAATTGTGAAATGAAGTTACCTTAATCAGGGTCAAAAACAGATGCACATATGTATTGCATGAAACATTCATTCAATATGGCACTACTTTTGAACCTTTTTTTCAAAATTGTGATTGATACAAAATATTAGTTGAAAAAGCAAGATTAGATAAAATTTAACGAATAAGCTGAAAATTGCATCTGCAAAAACGTTTTGGAATATCTTCTTCTATATTTTGAGATATAATTGCAGTTTGGAACCTTCTGAAAAAATAATTTGAATGTGACGGTTAATACGAGTTACATAACTACTATTTTCATTTTTAATATATATCGAATGAGAAGTAGAAATTGATACTGAAGTCAAATTTCAAATGAAACTATTATTGAAAATACATTTTTATAATGCAAATTCTTTATATGACATCATTCCTTTCACTTGTTCAGCATCCCATCTTTACGGGAATGCGGAGTTCTGTCAGGAGTAACTTTTTCATTACCTTGAACAAAGAATACGTTATGTAAATCCAAACGAAATTATTTTTAATAAGCCACCTCCTCCAGGATATGTAATCACTTGGATTTGATCATTCACATTTTCAACGAAAAATACCTAATCACGGTATTGCATGATTGGTCGGTTCACTAGTAACAACAGTTTGGAAACCCAACGAAAAGAGTCACTCTCTAATCCGTAGAGCTCCTCTAACATAACTGCTGAATCCTTCAATTTTCAAGGTTCTAACTCGGTACCTACCTACATTTTCATAAACTCACAGTCAACATGTTCATCTGGGAAGTTCTGTCCTTCACCCGGGCAGATGTGACTATTCGAAGGAAATTTCATAGTAATAGATCAATATTTGGAATATTTGAGAAGGAGAGAACTTTAGTACAAATTGAATTGGGAAACCTATGGAATGTGAAACTCACTACTGAACATAGCAATATGGTGATAACGGAACCTCAATATGATTTAAAATCAATTCAATTGAATATCTAGATCAAAAGGAAATAAGGGCAAGATGGATTAATCCAAACAACAAAAAGCACAGGATGTAATATAATTTCATAATGATTCCAAGAGTAATATATGTTATATATAGGTATATGTTGTATATGAATATTCAAAAAAATGAGAAAAACAGCCACTTATACTGGAGAAGATATCGGCAATGAACTGAACTGGTATGGACATTTACTAGGAAGAGATAAAGTTATTTTGACAGATTATAAAGAATGGAAAACTGATGTTCCAAAAAGGCAGTTATTCATGTAAATTATTACTAATTTCAAACTTTCTTTCTCTCCCTATCTTCATTAACCGTTGCTTCTTGTGCGGCGCATTTGACCAAAACTTACTTTCATTCACGAAAAATATATATTTGACAGAAGAAACGAATAGCAATTAACAATATTCTTTGTAAAATATACACATCAGTAAATCTCACTCTTACAACAATAACAAAAATTGTAGCCTACATACAGCCGATTTAATTTTATGCGCATTGTTAATAGTTTCTTACCATGCTGCAATATACTGAATGATGAACAAATAACTAATAATTGACATAACATCAAGAACATCATTTTCCAACTAACAATCTTTAACTAAGTTACTTTTGTACTATAGAAATCCGGGAGGAAACGAGGCACGCACACACACACTCTCATACAACAAATGATAATATGTGGTAAAATATTTCATTCCGACGAGACGATATCCAGAGTCGTAATTGAGAAAATGTTCACCTTCGTCGTTGATTTCTTTGTTGTGACGTCGATTCCAGTACTTGCAAGACGAAGTTCATCGCTTTGAACTGCACTCTTAAACAAGAAATAAACGAATTTTGATGCTCATGTTATGAGTTGCCAGGTGAGGTCAGGCCAGTGATGTACAAATTCCATAAATAATTGCTCTCTCATTCATATGTAGTATCGGCTTGAAGTTTTTTGCAACTCGGGCGGATGTCTAGAAATCATTCCCTTTATTGGAGAATTTTTCTTTGAACTTGCCACTGAATCTAGTTATGAATCGTACTTACATATGAGAATTAAAAGTTTATATTATTCTTCAAAATGTCACAAAATTATTATTGATTATTTTATGGAGTAAACCACTTCGAGAGCGGTTCTTGTACGATTGTGACGGTTTATGTTGGATATTAATCGCTGCAGATTATTGCCATTTGGAAAATCTAAAAATCGGGAATTTTCTTCCACGAGAATGTCGTTTAACGAATGAAATCGTTATTGTGATGCTATTCAGTTTTGGTACTGAAGAGCTGATAAGGCAAGTGTCTTACAGCGAAACATCGGATGTCTATCAGTGAGGATGACAGTGTTCCATGTAAGTGAAATTTTACTCTTTCATTTAGTGTATTGTGTAGGAATGATACCTGATTCAATTCCAAAACCAACGTTTGGAATACAAACTGAATAGAGAAAAGTGTTTTTGTATAGTTCATTGTTTATATAAAAGTATTTGTTTCGAAAGTATTTTTTTTTTCATGTAACTCAATGTTTATATGGAAATAACTGTTTCGAGAGGGCTTTTCTTTCAGTTTGAAATAGAGACCTTTGCATGATCTACACATCTATGTATAGAGTCACTTCTTTTGAAATTGATTGCTTCCTCCCTTTCAATTGAAATAGTTATCATTTGTAGATATAGTTGTTCAAAGTGTATTAATTATCAAGATTGCTTATGATGTTTGGATATTCAATCAGGCACATGACTTTTTTTTGTACACAATCTAGCAACATCAAAGCTCCATATACATAAGCTATATTTCATAAAACAATCAATTTGAGCTGTATAAGGCAAAATACATGTACGGTTTAATGAATGAGGTTTTGTCTGTCCTATTCATTACCAGGTGTGAATGCATTTATTTCATTATTACTTTGAAAGGTTATTCTTCTCGTTCTCATTGAAAACGCTGCCCTTCGATATATAACAAAACCATTCACCACGTAATTATTCTTTTAGAAGTCCACTGAAAGTCCGCGATGACATATGACTATCTTTTAAGGATAGCTTGACATACACATTTCAATATTCAAAATAATTGTCACATATAAGGTGGAAAGATATTTAGAAGAATACGATATTGATCAAATAAATACCTCAGTTGCCTTTATAATTTCATGCACATTATAATTGCATGTTACACCGTACGAACTGATATCTTGGGAGTAATTGCAATAATAGAACTGTCTTGGCCTGATGAAACGATGACACATGCGTGATCAAGAAACGTCGCGGTTAGGTTGGTTTTGTTTAATGTAGTGAGTCATTTCCATTTAATAGTAGAACATACTTTTGTTTAAGTGGAATTAATTATCATCAGTCACTAGGTGGGGTACCTCCTCCAATTCATTATATACATTCACTAGTGGTGCATAATGTTCTAGAACATTACACAATATTGGATTATTGCCCTATGACCTGAGATGTTTTGAACGTTACGGACTTGTGGTATTCGACTTCGCTCAGGAACAATTCACAACATTCCAAAATATTCCGGTATATTCTGAAAAATCATAGAATGCCTTTTGAATTTCTCTACTCTGTTCTAGACATTTCTAGAGTTCGAAACTGTCAGCCCTCATATCTTCAAAAGCACACCCTTCAGGTGAAAACGAGAACCTTCTTCTAGGATGAGGGATAAAGGATTCCTACACCATACAACTCTTGAACGTTTTACAATAATATGGGATGTTCCCAAATATTTCAATCTGATCCAGACTGTTGCCAAATATCTCACACTTCGGAATTTTTAGAGGATTCATCTTTTAGCGCTTATATCTTCAAAAAACGCCTTTCGGGTGAGAACGGGAACCGTGTTCAAGGATGTGTGATAGAGGACTCCACAAAATATAACTTCCTTGATTGTTTCACAGTGATCTAGAATATTCCGGGATATTTACGAAAGTTTCAGCTCATTTTTGAACAATCCACTACATTCCAGGATGTTATAGAACTATCTAGAGTGCGAAACTTTCAGTCCTTATATCTTGAGTTCAAGTTATAAGGGGAATCGTTTTACCGGGTGGATGATAGAGAGCTACCACTCCGTATAACTTTCTTGATAGTTCCAAAATAATGTAGGATGTTCCAGAACGTTCCACAACGTTCCAGAATGATCCCGAACAGTCTCTTCGAAAAACATATCCGCAAAAATTTTTAGAATCAGAATGAATTATTTACAACAGTTACGTATAGACAAATAATTTATATTTAGTCTGTATGACGTATTATTTTACGAATAATAGATAGTGGTTTCCCAAGAAAGCTATATGACGTAAATCAAAAATATTCGAAGACCGACAAAAGAGTCGGATCTTAAAATGTTTTCTAACAGGTTAAGTGGAAAAATTTATATTTCTGACAGTAATGTATTCAGAATTACGTCAATGGAATATGTATTCAATGTTAGTAAGTATTCATTAGGTCATATGGATTCATGTTTTTGAAGTTATTTACATTGGTAAAACTGGTAAAACGCAGAGTAGCAAACATCATCTTAACATGTCTAAGTTGTACTAGGAAATAAATATTCCGGGATATTCATCTTTCCCAACTACCTACATCGTAGGTTCTGGTGAATGCTTGCCGGAAAACAACTACTTTCCCGGCTAATACCGCGCTGGATGTTGAATTATATCCGGCAGACATTCATGCAAGTTACCTCACAGAGGTTAGTCTCACAAATGTTTTTTGTTCATCCACCATGCTGAAATTATTCAAGTGGATCACTCACAGATCGGTTTCGCATCAGTGCAAGAAAGATCAACTGCTTGTATGAAACCTTCGTATTAGAAAAATATTGTTAACTAGTAACAGCTCCATTTCGTGAACCAAATTCCTATAGACCAGTCGCTTTGCTATCAGTGATATCAAAAATCATGGAGAAAGCCATGAACCACCATATCCTTGAATATTTTAATGACTTTAACATCTTGAACGATTATCAATAAGGCTTTCAGAAATAAACATCAACAGAGACTTTCTGTCGTCAAGAGCTGTTGTGCTTGATATTTCTAAGGCCTTTGACCGTATTTGGCATGAGGGTTTGCTCGCCAAACTTGTCAGATCATTTTTGTGTATGGCGCTACAGCTTCCTGAAAAAAGAAACCTGCAAGTGGCCGTCGATGGATATCTCTCAAATACTTGTACCATCAACCCTGGTGTTCCCCAGGGATCCATATTGTCTCCAACCCTCATTTTATTGATATTGGAAAAAACGAAGAATCCAATATATTGCTTTGATGATGACAGCACACTTGTCCCGTCATTTCATTTGGATTCCAGGACATTGACTGCAGATGCACATCTTCACCGGCAGCAGGAGGTTGCATATTTTAATGAGGATCAAGAAGTGATTTCGAATTGGGGTGAAATTGGTCAGGTTCAATTCAATGACACAAAAACCCAAACATCGGTTTTCTCCAAAAAGATAAATGTCTTCGAACCGGATATAATAATGTCGGGGCCGACAATTCCACTTTCTGCTTCGATAAGTTTGTTGGAGATTAAAATAGACACCAATATGTCTTGGCACAATCATGTTGCTGGAGTAGCATTTTTGATGCTTTATGAAGCTCGGATCAGACCTTCTTTGGAGTAATCTTCTCATGTTCTCTGCCCCTAAGCATACCCTGAAACTGCTGGATTCCATCCAGAAAAGAGCCATCTGTCTGATTGGAGACGTTGTGGCATAAATTTTACTTATATATACACACAGCGGACGGCAGCTCTTCGTCTGGCGGCATTGGGCATGGGTTCAAGTCTAAACTAAGTATCGTTTGATAGCACAAAAAATGTTAGGCGCCACTAGAATTTGATTTTATGAAACCCAGAAAACAAAATATTGGGAATGACAGAGCCTTATGAAATGAAAGTCAAAATCTATAACAATAATTTATCACTACAATAATTTTTGTTTGCGGCGTAGAATGATGATAAGATACAATGAGTTATATGCAAAGTCTGGGACACTACCCAAGATAATTATGAACGGATATGTATGTCCATTACGTGGATGATGAATGAAAATGATAGGATTTTATACCTTTTAAGGAGCTTCAGAATCAGCTCTGCCTTAGACGGTATATTGTTGATGGTGAACGTGTATGGTGGATGTGCCTGGTGGATTTACTTCCAGCTGAAGCAAAGACTAGATTCAAACGCAACAGCTGATATTGGTGGAATCAAATCTGCCTTGCGATGGAACCTGCATTCTGAACACTTCAATAGAACTATACATTGACGTAACTTGAGTTTCATTATTTTCGGACAGATTAAGATTTGAACTGGAAATAATAAAATTCATATATACACATATATATGGATGTTTTTAGATGACGAAAACTGCAATACCAAGAACTTCTACCTAAAGTCAAAAGGACTACTAGAAGAAAAGAGTAGTTGTTTCGACCCGCCAGATGGCACGTCTAGAGATTCACCATTCGTAGTGTTGAATAAACAACGAACGCACCGAGTGTAGAAGGATGATGAGAACAGTACACATTAACCGATCTGCTCTCGGAACATGAAAGAAAATATCCTTCAGCTGATTGAAGGTTAGAGGTCGACATCTGATTATTTATTTCCTGATGACAGATGAAAATACTTAAGTTCACCACCAGAGTTTCGTTTTTGATGTGGTGGTGGACGGACGTGCCGAC